ACACAAAGGGAATGGAGGAGAAGACACACCTGGTGGACTAGCAGAAGTAGAAATGACTGAATGAGATATTTTCTATTTCAGTGATTACACTCTCTTATGTATTTATATATATATCATATATACATACACACAGAGAAAAAAAAAATATATATATATACAATATTCAGTGATATACCCTCTTATACGGTCTAGTCCAAGATAAAGAAGTGGGTGGCTGTGTGAGCTTTCAAATTGCATACAGCTTGTGTAAAATATATTTGAAATGTTGGTTTGAGCTCTAAGAGTCCGTCCATCTGGAAGAACTAATGAGAACTCGTGTCTGCCCTTTCTCTGTTTCTTCTGTGCTACCTAGACTATTTCTAACACTTTGTTCAGTCAGCAGTGTCCTAAGTTTGTAGAAGAGTACTTTTAAGAGATTCTGTTTACCTTGAAGTTTTAATGGCGACTTATGATGCTTCCAGGACACTATTGCTGTCACAGGGTGACCTCCTTCTTTATTTGGCTTTAAGGTGCTGTAAAGCCCTTTAAGAACCATTAATTAAACCTCTTGAAAGCACTACCTGTTCTTCTACATTTCCACACATAACCACAGTTACACTTTCTTCTTAATGAAAAAAAAAAAAAACAAATAGTTCAAGAACTCCTCAGGTTTCAACCTGAAACTTGATATTAAGCATTTATTACACTATTTAAAGCAGATATAATCTGTATACATGATACCACAAAGCAGAATAATTTACGGGCTTGCTAGTAGACTGACTTCCCTAGATCTTACCTTGGTAAAGGCCCAAGAAGACAAGCAGCTGAAAGACTAGTCAAAAAAGACTGAAGGTACAGTGCATTCTCAGCACGAAGCATAGTCAAGAACCACATAAGAAACAGAATCTGCGGAAGAAAAAAAGAAAAAAAGAAAAAAAGAAAAAAAGAAAAAAAGAAAAAAAATTATACAGGATTAAATTTAAATTCTAAAAGTCAGCTGAATCTCTCTGCAGTTCATTTTGTCAGTGGCTTTTGTAAGTGTTTGCAGGTGGGCATCTGCCTAAATCTGACCAGTCAGATAGGAGTAATGTTAATGAAATCATCAGCAATACCAGGTGATATGGCTGAGTTTGCCAAGTCAGGAAACTGATGAACTTGAAGTTGTGCCTAAATGCATTCCTAAGTGCTTAAAACATCTTTTCACACCAGCTGTATAGAAAGCTCTAAAATGTCAGCACTGCTTAGTTTACCATCTGTGTTATCCCCACTCCCTCTTCCCTCTTTTATTTTAAGGTTTCTTTATGTTGCCAGAAGAAAAATGACTCCTAAATATTTTCAGCATGTTATTGGAAAGATAAATTTTTGAAGGGCTTTTTTGTTCTAACTCATGCTATGTAAAGCACGTTTAATAATGCTTAACATTTAGTCAGCCTACTTATTAATCATTAAAATAATATCAGCTATCAAAATAATCCATAGTTAACTGAAATTAAGTAATCACATATTAAAATTACACTGCAATATTGCTCTGCTTTAAAAACAGATGGAAGAATTCAAGCAAAGATTTTTAGGCCATTTATTTCAGCAACTGTTTAATGTTAATTCCGTTAAATTTTCAGAAAATTTCTAAGATAAATCTTTAATTATATTATGCATTCTGTATAGGTGTGTACTGTCAGAACATAACTTTTTTCTTTTTTTTCTTTTTTAGATTCTCCCATGACGTCTGCAGATCCAGTCTCAGATAGGAAGTCAGGGTGAAAACACTTTGATAATAATGTGAGACATTTATCTTCTCTCCCTACTGCTCTTATGTTGACATATTAAATGAATGCAACTGCAGGGAAAAACAGCTGGGGAACCTCATTTATACCCTACATGTACTCACCCTCCTTTTGTCTATGGGATAACCTTAAGGAGTAATGAAATGTTTTGTTTCTGTACTTTTTCTATAGGCTAACTATTATTCTGAATGACTGCCTACTGCAACTTATTATTAAGTTTCCAATAATGAAATGCACTTGGCTCAAAACCTGGATATTTTATGACATCTTTACCTACTTTTTGAATCCCCTTTTTGCTACAATTAAAATTAAGACCACAGCAGAGGCACACCTTTTGATGAGTGATCTTGGAATGATTGATGCAAGAAGTTGCACTAGGAAGACAAAAGATCTTTAGCAATAGTTTTGGTAACATACTTCCTGGAGAAATGCAACCATTTATTTAAGTAGGAGTTGGTCAATATTTATCCCAAATGACAGTTGGCACTGTGTAGAATTCGGCTGGGAAAGACATGGAGCAGAGCTCACAAAATGCAGTGCATGAGAGCATGACATAAGCTGTAAAAACATCCTCCTCTTGAAAGGGTTAAAATCTAGAGAAATACATGGAGTAAAGAGCCTGCCTGATGAACTCAGAATATCCTCAGCCTCCTCTTCTCTTGGCCAAAGAAACCACGGGACCTCAGCTGCTCCTTACGCATTTTGCTCTTCGGACCGTTTCCCATCTTTGTAGACCTCCTTTGGACTCTCACACCTTTATAACATACAGACTGCTACAGAAAGTATCTGTCACACATCTGTTTCCCAGAAGTAATATTTTGTTCAAAGGTTTGACAAATCAGCTACAACCAAGAAGTTTCACACCCCATTTCATTACCAAAAAGCAGATGAATTACTTGTTTCTCTCTTCATTTTATAAATGCCACAAAGTGCTACAGATTTTAATGTTTTGTTTTGGAACCTGTCTGGTTCATATTCGCAAACTTACTTGCTAAGTTTGAATGGTGTCTTTTAAAATCCATGTTGAAATTTGTTTGGAGTAATTTATTCTGTTGTAGTCATTTTAATTCATGTTGCAATAAGCCATCTCTGTCTAGGGACTAGACTGAAGGATTTCCTCTGATCAATTCCAAATTTGCACTCTACCTCAGATGTTACTTTGCCTCCTGTCACTCTCCTCTGTAGCATCCATTACTGAAGTAGTATGCCAGTGTTCTCAGTCTTAGTTTCAGTCCAAGCTGCTTTTTACATAAGCATCTTGTCCTCTATATGGCAAAAAGGAATAAGGTAACACTATATTTTCTGTACTTCAGTGGGGGTACAGGACTAAGTGCTTCAGCCATGTAGATGTGCAAATCTTTATTAAACCTTTTGGCAGCGAGTTTGCTGCAATTATAAATGATATTGTAATTCTTGCTTAGGCATAGTAGAATGTGTGGGACACTATACAGGAGGAAGGACTATGTGCACAAGTTATATTAAAGGAAATTGCAACTACGCAAAAGGAAATATAGTATTTATAGTGAGGGTGAAGCCCTGGCACAGGTTGCCTGGAGAGGCTGCCTCAAAGTTATTCAGACATGACCAAATGAAGCCCTTAAAGATAGCACAGACTTGACCCTTCTAAACTAAATTATCTGAGACTCCGTGTTTGAGAAATCCTTGGAAGCACTGCTTTGGTTTGTCTACAAAAATACAAAGTGTTCACAGGTTGTCTGGATAATAGTATTTATCCTTCAGAATGCAGATCGGTACTGAATGTAATGAAAGCTGACATTCTAATTCCCTTGAAAAGTGTTCGCTTTTAATGTGGTAAGGCCTGTGTGACTTATTCATTTGGACTGTCAAAGACAGTAAGCACATTTTCTTCTAATGATTTTTTCAAAATCATGTCTAAATGGTTTGCATGGCGTTCCAATAACAAAGATGTAATTGTATTTCCGCATTCTTCTGACTAGTAGGTATAGGACATGTTCTTCCGGACCTGGGTACCTTTTGGCTTGTTCCCTTAATAACAAAAAAAGCCACTCTATCACAGATGTGCTCTGCTTGCTGCATGTGTTTGCTATTGGCTGTGATAGTGAGTGGCATGGAGTGCTTAGTTACTCTTGATTTTATCTATTAAGATACTTCAGAGAAGATACCTTGGAAGGCAGTACAGGTGCTTGTGCCTGTAAACAGACTGATAACTGTGGGTAGGGGTTCTCTTGCACAGCGTTTTTGAGTACTATTCTTCAACATTTATATTCAACAGCACACGAAGCTCACAGCCAGGTTCAGAGCCAGTATAGTGAGTGCAGCACAGAAATAAAACTCACCATATTCTTCCTATAAACACACTGCAGCTAGTTTTCAAAGCAGAGAACTGTCTTGACAAAGAAGTAGAGGGAAATGAAAGAGAGGAGGAACACTGCTCCTCCTGAGCAAGCTGCAACAGCAAATGTTCATTCCTATGCTCCCACAGCCCCAGTCCAGCTCTCTGCCGAACCTTTCAGAGTGTGGGACTGAGAGCATTCATACACAAGAGCTGTGAAAAACGGGGTGCAAGGAATACGCGAGGGAACACCAAGACGACCTCACTGCTACCTAAGAGGCTGTTCAGCAGCCTCTGTACATTCATGAGAGGGCAGAGCCGGAGGGGAGCTGTGATTAAAGGCGTCTCTTTTTCACTGCGACAGTGAAGAACCTCCGACCCCGGGCTGCACTCTGAAACCCTCGGCACCTCTCCCTCCGCACGCACGGCGGCACAGCGAAGGTCCGACCCGCTAGCGCCCACCAACCCCGACGGCGGGCCCGCGCTCCGCGCCCCGCCTCCCGCTGAGCCGCTCCCGCCCCCGGTGGTGGTTGCCCCCGCCCCTTCTGGAGCCGGCGGCGGGTCGGTGGCGAGCGCCCTGCCCCCGGCGGCGGGCCGCCATTTACGTCAGCCCCGTGCTGCCCGGCCCGCCCCGTCGGCCGCCCGCTCCCGCCAAAGCCGCCGCCGAAGCCGCAGCGAGCGGAGCGCGGGGATCGGCGGCGGCCGGGACGGCGGGGAAACTTCGGGCGGTGGAGCCGCGCACGAGCAGAGCTTCGCGGCACCGCGGGCTGCGGCGTTCAGCACCGCGGACAGAGTGCTTCAGCACCACGGACAGAGGTGGTCGGCACCACGGACAGGGCGGCGGCCCCGCCCGGCATGCGCGCCCCGCGCCCCGCCGCACCTCCGCTCACAGCTACTGCCCTGCACTGGCGGCCCCGGCGGCGATGGAGCCAACGGCGGCCCTGAACGAGAGCTCGGCTGCGGTCCCCTGGCTGCCCGCCCGCGCCGGCAACGCCTCGCTGGAACTGGCGTCGCGGCCCCCCGCGCCCACCGCCATCAACCCCTGGGACGTGATGCTGTGCGTCTCCGGCACCGCCATCGCCTGCGAGAATGCCATCGTGGTGGCCATCATCTGCTACTCGCCCACCCTGCGCACCCCCATGTTTGTGCTCATCGGGAGCCTGGCCACTGCCGACCTGCTGGCCGGGATCGGCCTCATCCTCAACTTTGTTTTCCAGTACGTGATCCGTTCCGAGACAGTCAGCCTCCTCACCGTGGGCTTCCTCGTTGCCTCTTTCACCGCCTCTGTGAGTAGCTTGCTGGCCATCACGGTCGACCGTTACCTCTCTCTCTACAATGCTCTCACCTACTACTCAGAGAGGACGGTGCTGTGCATCCACACTATGCTGGTGTGCACCTGGGGGGTCTCCCTCTGCTTGGGGCTGCTGCCAGTCCTGGGCTGGAACTGCCTCCATGACCATGCTGCCTGTAGCATTGTCAAACCCTTGACCAAGAGCAACGTGACTCTGCTGTCTGCCTCTTTCTTTCTCATTTTTATCATCATGCTCCATCTCTACATTGAAATCTGTAAAATAGTTTGCAGACATGCCCATCAGATAGCTCTCCAGCAACATTTTCTGACTGCATCACACTATGTTGCTACCAAAAAGGGAGTGTCTACTCTTGCTATAATTCTCGGGACTTTTGGAGCAAGCTGGCTACCTTTTGCCATCTACTGTGTGGTTGGGGATCCCAACTACCCTTCTGTGTACACTTATGCCACGCTTCTACCTGCTACCTACAACTCCATGATCAATCCTATTATTTACGCCTACAGAAACCAAGAAATTCAGAGGTCCATGTGGGTTCTCTTCTGTGGCTGCTTTCAGTCTAAAGTGTCCTTTCGCTCCCGGTCCCCTAGCGATGTCTGAGTGACTTTTCTTTTTGTAGTACTGCACCAAGTGACAATCCACTTAGTGAATTATTACAGTGCCTGTTATAAACTTCAAACTCTGTTGTGAAGTCATTGAAAACATGCTTAAATATTAGCACTTTATACATGTTTGTATCTTTGAAAGTGTTCAGGGTATAAACTTTTCAGTTCTGTGGAAAAAAAAAAAAAATGGTTGTACATAAATTTGCACATCACATTGGTAAAGTGAAGATGTTCTGATACTGCTTAATTATAGCACCTTATTTCTAGCTGCTGATCTGCCAAAACAGTGTTGCCTTTCTGAAGGGCAGAGAGAAAGGGAGTTGGTTTTTGTGTTATATTTGTACCTGTGTATGTTTTGCGGGAAGGGAATGTATGTGTGAATGTGTGCAATACCTTGCTGCATAATATTGATAAATTATAACATTTTGTACACAAATAAAAGCATTTAAGATGTAAGAAAATTTGTGTGTTCATATGATTTTAGAAATAAGTGAGATGGAAAACTTTCCAGGTAAGCAATGTTCCTTTGTTTACTTTTGAAAGCTTACCATTTAATTCCACTTATAGAGATCATCATTTACTATGGAGATGAAATATTGTACCAAGAAAGGAACCTTTCTGCTTGCTTGTTTGTTTGCTCTGTTCTTCTTTTAGACGAAGAAAGAGCAAAGAAGAGAACAAACTCCTTTTTATTCTCTACTGAAAAGGTAACAAAAGACCCAGGCAAGTAGGCTACCAATCGTAATTATTCTCCAGGCCTCCATGTAGGTTTCATTTTCAATTTATAAGCTAGCCATTTATGATGATGCCATATTTAAAAGTTATTAAACTGTGGGGGAAAATCAAACTCAACACTGTGCTCTTCTTACAGTCTAACATTTCACAGTAAAAAAGAAAAAAAGGAGAAAAAATTCTCCTTTCCTAAAAGCCTGTATAACGCCATAATACATTGACTTTCCTTATCATCTGCAGTTCTGTGGGTAATATGAATTGCTCCTCCCCCTCCTTTTTTTGATAGTGCACTGCAGAAAAAATCATTTAAGTGCATCTTTGCTGTCTCCCTGTCTCAGAGCAGTACACAGTTTTCAGATAATCCCATAGCTAGCGGCTTCAAAGAGTCCATCAGAGGTCAATACTGTTCAGAGTTCGGAAAACATTTCTTCACTCAGGTTCAAATTCAAATTCACAGACAACAGATTTGTTTGAAGCAAGAAGATGCACAGTATATTTCAAAAGCAGTATTATTTCTTGTTTATTTATAGTTACCTTACATTTCCCATTATGGCTATGTGATATCTTGTCACTCTCAGTTCAGTTTGTATTTAAGATTAATCTAGTGTGCATAGTGCTGTATAAAGAGTTTGGACTAGTATGTTTCACAGCTTATGAGTGGCAACACATCAAGCACCTCCCTGCTGGAGCAGCCAGCACAACAGGAAGGCTGTAATACTGTATGAGTATTACAGTATTGAAGTAATCAGAAATGCTTTACTTCTGTGAAAACAGGTATTATAAGTAAAATTTAACAGAGAATACAAAGATATTTCATTTTAGGTGTGACCTGATTGGAAAACTATATTCCAGACTCAGGAATCACCATTATTTTTATCGGTTCAAACTGATGGATGCATTCAGGCACATTCAGGCATCAGGAGAGACATAGACTTGTTAAAAGGAACTAGAGGAGGGCCAAAAAATGTTCAAAGGATGAAACACTTCCCCTATGAGGACAGGCTGAGAGAGCTGGAGCTGTTCATCCTGGAGAAGAGAAGGCTCTGGAGAGACCTGGTAGCTGCCTTTCAGTATCTAAAAGGGGGCTATAAGAAAGAAGTAGACAGAATTTAGCAGGATCTGTTGTGGTAGGACAGGGGAAATTATTTCAAACATAAAAAAAAAGGTGATTTAAATTGGATATAAGAAAAGAATTTTATGAGAGGTGTAAGAAACACTGGAACAGGCTGCCGAGGTGGATGCCCCATCCTTGGAGACATTCAAGGTCAGGATGGATGGGGCTCTGAGCACCCTACTCAAGGAGTATGTGTTCCTGTTCATTGCAATGAAGTTGAACTAGGTGGCCTTCCAACTCAAATTATTCTGCAATTCTATGATTCTGCGATTGTTCTTCACAGTACCCTTGCAGTGTTGTTACAGATGTGATATAAAACAGATCTTATGAAAGGCCCAAATGCTGATAAGATTAAGAACTGTAAAATTGTTAGTGAGAAGCAATATTTTCCCCCTCTTTTCTGTTGTCAAAAGCAACAAAACCCCAGAATTTTTCATCTCATACATCTGAACTACTGAATGAAACAAAGCAAAGACTGCTTCTAGCCCTGTCACAAAACACATCTGAATACTTTTCCCTCTGCAAAATCAGAGTAACTGTGACTGAACTGTGGACTGGAAACATCCACTGGCATGTGCAACGCACTACATTGGCAACTTGACCAAACAGGGATGGCAGAGAACACTGAGACTTCATCCTGGCCCTGCTCTAGCAACTTGTATAGACTTGGCCCAAGGTGCTCTACCATCAATGTTAACTGCTGAGAGATAAAACCAATAAGAGCTTTGGACTAGTGAAATCTGATAAAAATGTATGGTAAAACTGGAAAACTTACCATCTCCTAGGCTTTAATTTCGTAAGTCTTTGTCACAAACGAAAAAACTACTGAAGGAAGCTTCTTATGTCTACTTCTGAGCACTAAAGTTAAGGAGAGAAAATCTGCTGGAGAAAAACACAGATGCCCACGTCCCTCCACTGACTTTACCAGGAACTTACTTTTACCACAAATCCATTAAGCAGCTACAACTCATGTAAAAATTAATTGTGGAAATCTTAGATTTCTACTTCGGCAATAAATGACTTAATCCAAGACTTGAAAACTTACATGATTTTCCGCTGTTTTGCACAACATACTCTAGCTTTGATTTGATTTTAAATACATGACCACGCTTTTATTTTAGTACTTCTCTCTGTGACTTTTTTCTACCTACAAAATAAAGTTGAACCACTCCTGTTAAAAACACAACAATTTCAAGGTATTTTCCTGAGAATTCTTCCCCACTACTAGGAAACAAATTTGTTTTCAGCAAGGTTATCCATTTATTTTATTGGGACATTACAAATGTTCTTCTTTTCTACATACTCTCTTCAGAAAGCTTTTGCTGTCTCATAATTTCTGAGAAAGGCTAATGCAAAAGGGGAGAGGGTATTTTGTTCGGTTTTGGTCATCCCTGAGAGTGGTATTGGCATCAACCTCATTACAGTAAAAACAGCCTTTCATTTCCAAAGCTAGTCTGTAGGGGTAACTGAGCAGAATAAGAGAAAGTAGACAACGTGATCTCTGTCTCCCACTGTAACATCTCACTTTAGAAAAAGAGGAGCTGCAGCCCCTGGTAGTATCCACAATTCCTGATAGGGCAAGCCTGAGAATTTTGTGTAGCATGATACCTGTATTTTTCTTGCTGAGTTTTTTGCTGAAACAACAACAAATGAAACAACAGACATTTATTTGTGAAAATGGTACTATATTTGCATTATCTGCATCCACAGACTCATGTTGTCAGACCAATGACATCTAATTTACTCATGAAGTGAGTCTTGGAAGACAAAAACGAGAATTCCTGGAATCCCCAGTGCCAGTCTGCTGCAAGACACGCTCCCTTAATCCTCACACAGACTTAACATCAGCTGTCCTTCTGCTGTCACTGCCTGTAGTGCTGCTGAGGACAATCACGTACTGTGTGTCTGATCTTGTATTTCCACAAGTCAATGGGCAATTTTGTCTACACAAGGGCTGCACAATTGCAGCAGTAATTGCTGTTACCACCAGTGAGCACAGATCTTTCCTTGTATTTGTGGGCCCATGTGCTTACTGTTATTCATGTTCTCAACTCAGTGGTATTATCTTCCAGGGGAGAAAATGTATGCTGAGTTAGGTACAAGGATCAGGCTCAACATTTGGTAATGATATATGATGTGCAGTCTTAGCTGGAAAAGAAAACGAAATTTCCAACTTCACTACCCTTAAAAATTGCTTCGTTGTTTTATTCTGAGGTAGGTAACATCAACATTGGTCAAAAAGTTACAAGTCTGTGCTCACTAAAACTGTGTTTCTGTCTATTGCAAATGAGCCAAGATAATCATAGAATAATGGCTGCATCATAATGACAGCATCTCACTGAAAACCATACAATTTTGAGATGGGAAGTCCTCAGCCTCAGCTCCGATTTTCATTACTGAACAATATTTTATTACTGAACTTGAAAATAATATGAGACTCGAAATGTCTCTAAAGGCCAGATTATGGCAATTTTACATATGTGAAGTGTCTCTGTGCTCAGCTCCATAATTTTGGTGGGAGTAATTGCAGAGAGCAGCACAGCTCTGGTGAGCAAGAGCTGGTCTGGGGCTGGTCTAAAAGCAGCACACAGCACTTGGTTTCCTGTAGGGTTTTTGCTGCAATCAGTGGTATAATACCACTGCAAATGGAATGAGAACCACTCTGCAGGCTGCTGTGTATGAATCATTGTATATTAAAAAAACCAGCAGGATTCAAAATCACAGGTCAAACAAAACCCCTTTTTTAGCTAGCCAAACAAAATGACAAAATACTTTTAAACCTAAAAACTGAATATGTGCATATTTTTATGAATGTAATGAACCACAGGTACTAAATCACACACAGAGAGGTAATAAAAGCTCTCATCTCCATTCTGCTGCAGTAATTTTTAAAGGACTTTTTTTTTTTTTAATGAACTACAAATAATTTCTGATAGTACAGCTACTTGTAAGTTCTTCAACCATTTTTCTTGACATTCACTTTAAAAGGAAAAGACTAGGAGAAAAAAACACCACATTTTCTCCTTCCTGCTGCTTCACGGCAGGGATGTGCACACTGGAGGGAAAGCAGCAACCAAGCAGCTGTGTTTCAGCTCTGCCAGGATGCTGAGAACATCTGGAGCTCACCACTGGGTGTAAATTTCTTCATT